TTCTCTCTCTCTCTCTCTCTCTCTCTCTCTCTCTCTCTCTCTGTTCAGCGCAGTAAATACGAGTAACAATTCAAGTCACTGCCAAAGGAAAGGCAATGAAATAAGTGTGGAATGGTATTGGTTCCATTCAATTTTAATGGCCATGCAGTGCGTTTACTTTTTACAAGAAGTTGTATTTGTCAATGGTCGTTTTCTAGGAGGGGGTTGGGGAAGGGGGGCATTTTAACAAAGAATATTGCCATATAGTTTATACACTTCATGTAAAACAAAGAATAAAGGAAGACAAGTAGATCTAGTTCAGAGTTTCCCAACATTGGGGATCATACTAGCTTGATATTGTTATGGGCATCACAGGCTTCTGCATTATTCACGCCGAAACGCGCTGAAAAGCTTGCCACAGGAGTCGCAGAATGGATCCATGTAACAGTGGACGCACATTCCCCACAGCTTCTGCAGACATCCACAGTTGAGCTCCAAGCACTTGAAGCATGGCGTGACGTACCAGATGTGGACAAAGGCGATGTAGGCGAACTCACAGCCCCAGCCAGCGGCGATGCAGATGCCACAGCACAGGGTCATCAGGGTGTAGCACAGTTTCTTGCAGCAGTTGAAGCATTTGTAAGAGTTGCTCCACACGCAGTCCATGGAATGAGCACCCTCCGGTTCAGCCAATACATCTTCGAAGGTGACCTACGGAAACAAGTTGCTGGACAAGAGTACCTTTATTCATAACAATGTGTTATTGTTGTTGTTGTTGTTTTAAATATTGGTGTTGTGCACACTTTAGATCATCAACAGAATTAAGATGATTAGGGGACGTGCTTCGACCCTAACTATCAGGGCCAACCCGGGCTGAGAAGGATACAATGTTCCAGCAGAAAGACCGATGTATTTGATAGAATTCTCTCAATTCGAGAATCAAGCTCAGGTCTTCTGCAAGCGACGGTATATCACTTGATAAACGGTTCAACTAAGAATATGAATATTCTTTGCTGGCAGCAACAGCACATATGACAACACCAGATTCACAGACTCCAACCCAGAGAGGCCTGCCTCGGTCTTTGATCATTCCAATCTCAGTCTTAGTAATACAACAACAACATAACCCCCCTCCAGTCTCCAGCTTTTGCTCCCCCTTCTTCAATCACACAAAGCATAATAAAATTATTATCTTATAAATCCCCATGTAGCGTCTTCAGTGATGCCACACATCGTTGGGGTACTTGTAGTAATGTTTTACGTCTCTTTCGATACTATCTACAAGGGCTGTTGCATAACCCCCCCCCCCCCCTTTCCGAGTGTTGGACATATTCTTAAGTAAACCTATCTGACATTTTCTGTCAGAACTTCTAAGTAGTTTAGGGAGTCCTAAATTTGAGTCTACCATTAAAATGAACAAAATAAATGAAAACCTTTTTTTTTTTTTTTTACAATATCACAACAAAGATGGCAACCACTATACAAAATTGACCAAAAGAAGACATTTGAGATGCAAAAGAAATTCAGACAAAACTTGAAACTATAAATGGTGAGAATGTTTTCAGCCAGTTAAAGGTCTATCATTTGTACAATTTGTCTGAAGAAGGGCGAGCAATTTGTCTGAAGAGGGGCATACAAATTTACACGTCAACAAATTAGAGACCCGTTATTTACTTACCACCACAGAAAAAAAGGTGGACGCATTGAAAAACTAATTTGGGACGACAGAAGGCTCCAAATCGGCGACATTCCTTACGCCCGCCATAGATCTTTTAAGTTAACAGTTCACATAATTGTCTTCATTGAGCGAGGATACAAAACAGTGTCGGTCCTGAGAGCCATAAAAACAGCTGACAGATGACCACAAGGCACAGCACATCAATGCTTGTGCGCCATTGTTGGAATGATGCAGACACAATGCACATGGCTAACTGGGCCTGCTGGTGACTTCCAAGAACCCAATGAAAGCTTTTTGGACCAAAGTCCTGATGTTGCCCCTTCCAACTACCATTTGTTTGGACCAATGCAACAATATCAAGCCGTGGAGAATATCACTTCTGACATAAACCTTGTGGAGCACGTCAGAGATTGGCCTCACTCGCTTTAAATAAAATTCTATAAACATGACATGCATTAACTCACTAAGAAATAGGGGAAAATACTTGATTTTGCATGGAGACTACGTTGAGGAACAAAATGTTTAGCCAACTAACTGTAGAAGTTGTATGGCAATCAAGACAAAAATATGTTGTAACTATTTTCTTGTTATCTTTGGGATAACCCTTGTAGATCATTAATGTGAGGCGGGCCACGTAGCGTGCCCATAGTATGGGCGGGTCAGCTGCTGACAAAGGCAATGGTGCATTACTTTTCATATCATCATACACAAAATCAAAATACGGATTTGCATATGGATGAATGCTGTTGCCGACTTACTTTAGTTTAAGATCAAGAAAAGAGAATTGAACAATTCTGAATGAACTATGAAGTTATTTCTTTTGCTACTTGCCCAACAACAACAAAATATGCATCTTCTGGCGAATGACCAGAACACGAGTTCTCAAAGCGGAATAACGCGCAAACAAAAATAAACAAAACATTACTCACCTTGATATGGTCATTGATGCTGTTTGGATCTCTGTTGACTAGGTCTACAGAAGTCATTGTGTACTACTTTGATCAGTGGAGACGAACACGAAGAAAGAAACTGTGTGGTACAGTGTTAGGTATCCCAGTATACGTCACACCACAGACAGCTGGACATCAGAGTAGACGAGCAGTCACAGTTTTGGCACATGCTATATATAATGTACTGATTGCCATAGACACCCAACAGCTTGACCGGAATGTCCATGCCGTGACACAATAATAATAATAGATAATAGATAACAATGTATCCCTGGGTAGAAATGCAGATTTTATTGAGAGCATTCGAATAACGATTATATATACAAAAAGGCGAGGGGAGGTATACCGTTGTGAAAAATGAAAATGAGTACAATACTTTGAATTTGTTATATCAAAAATTGAATATTGCATATTATGTAAGTAAAAACAAGCTAAACCTTGATTACTGAGACACTCAGAACTGCTTGCCGTGAGTATCCAAGCGTTCTTCTAATACTCTCAAAGATCTAAGAATTATAACAATGATGTATATCTACTTTTATCACCCCCCTCCCCCTCCATTATACACAGTGGCAAAGAGAAAGGAAAGAAAGAGACAGACAGACAGACACATAGACAGGCAGACAGACAGACAGACAGACAGACAGACAGACAGACAGACAGACAGACAGACAGACAGACAGACAGACAGACAGACAGACAAAACGATAGACAAAAAGGAAGGGGGAAGAAAGTTGGCCAGTGGGAATACACAAAATAAACAAATAATTTTCAAAATCCGAAAACCAGACGCACAGACGAATCTGTGGAAAGTAGAATATTGTCCATACAAAGACAGAATGAGGGAGGAAGAGAATCAGAAGAGAAGAAAGGACGGGGAAGGAAGTAGCGGATACTTAGGAAAGGCAAACAAATCGCGTGGGTTTTTTAACCGAGATGAGCTAACAGGTGGTGTGCTGCAGATACATGTACACAGATAGATATACATGATATACAATGTGCAAAATGTATATAGATAGATAGATAGATAGATAGATAGATAGATAGATAGATAGATAGATAGATAGATAGATAGATAGAGAGAGAGAGGGGGGAGAGGGGGGAGAGAGAGAGAGAGAGAGAGAGAGAGAGAGAGAGAGAAAGGGGGGGGGGAGACGGACAGACATACAGACAGAAACACAGACAGACAGACAGACATACAGATAGGGAGATTGTGTGTGAGAGAGAGAAAGAGGAAAAGAGAAAAATAGAGAGATAGGTGGGAGAGAAAATGAGTGTGAGAGAGAGAGAAAGAGGGAGAGAAGAAAGGGAAAAGGAGAGATAGAGAGAGAGACGGAGAGAGAAAATGAATGTGAGAGGGGGGACAAGAAACGAAACGGCAAAAAGAAACAAGAGATACTGACTAGATCTATTTAAAGCTGCCTCAACCTTGAAGCAAACTATGCGTTGACATTGTTTTCCCTACCCTACAGCAAACGAATGTACTCCCAATCGTGTGTACATAGGACTTAACAAGGGCAGCCCCGTACCCGTTGTGTGCTCAACAGTTGATCTGGGAAATTACTGGTTATCTGGCACTGGCTGAACTGCCAACACTTCAAAGCTCTATCAGCTCTTAGGCCTAAATTTGTCATTCTATGTAGGGCTCGTGGAAACAAATGAATTGAAACGGCCACTATCTAAGTCAATTGATGTGACATAAATGTATTTGAATATGACAGATGGTTTCCGTTTTGCGAGTTCTTTGCCATTATTATAGCTACAGAAGATTATGTTGAATTGATGCTGACAGCCTCTTTTGCCCGGCTTGGAGACGTGGCGTTTCTGCTTTTGTTTCATGAATTTAAGTTATTTGCCATACCCACATCGATTTTCTCTCTTACCGAGATCAATAAAGGAGGCTGGTGCGAGACTTAACAACAGTGCACCAGCTAGATCTAGATCTAGCCCTTTCGCTTGCCTCACATGCCTATTTAGCTTGGCTTTTGGCCGGGGGTTTTTTCTTCACATAACGGCGTTATAGAATCTCTGTTGGCCTTCATACACTTAGCCCAACTATTTCGCTTTCACACTCAGATTGTCTTGAAATCGAAGCTCTCACTTCCATCAGCGCTCATCAGTAATGCCCCAGAGACAAAAACGAAATCGCACCAACTTCATAAGAACAATGTCGCACCTAAGTGCAGTGACAAATAGAACTCAATGAGGTTTGATGCTGCTATAGGGGGTGGGTTGGCTTTATTTTTCGGGGGGGGGGGTAATTATGGCACTAGTTCAAATCCTGAATTTCTTCACCGATAATTATGCGATACGTGCGATAATTATATTTTCTCTTGTATTTTCTTTTTTTTTAATGTTGTTTCCTCGTTTCTTTGTCTGTTTGTTGTTGTTTTTACACCGTGTGCAAAGTGAGGTGATTAGACTATTTGCCGTGCACCAAAAAAGAGAAAAGTTCAATCTCCAAGTGGTGGAGATATCTAACGAGTATCTCCATCTTTAGTTTGGGATGTTTGCCATACAGCGCCCCTCCCCCCCAAAAAAAAACATACAGAAAAGCAGCCTACTTGTTAAGTAGTTAAACCATTGTACTTTAGATCATAAATATCCACAAGCGAACACTTGGTTGCCAAGCAACTGGACAAACTATGCACTTGAGTTTAATGTTAAAATGGTTTGGTTTGCAATAATTTCTCTCGCCGAATTTCCTAGCGGCTTTTCACTGCGTCTGGGAACGAAGAAGCGCGATATCCAGTATCTACATGTACTGTGGCATTGAATACAAAAACAGATTTAAATTCTTTTACAAATTATGAACACCTTATTGATGGCGGTTTGGGTGCATGCATTGGCGACTATTACACAGTGACTTCAGCAAACTGAAAAAGACGTAAGATATTCAAAAAGTCCGCCCATTTTCCCCCAAGATCGCTAAGCTTAGAAAGAAACCATATTTTTACCAGCGACAACAAAATATATCGTAGATGTTGACTAGGTGTTTGGCTTCATCAGGCGAGTTTTTTTTTTTTTTTCAAATGTCAACTTGACTTTTGATTCTCATAACAATCAGTCTCAAAATCTCTTATCTTGTGGGTAACCAATTCCTTTCGCATACAAGAGTCATGGAGGGGGCTAAAGTTGTAGGGGAGGGGAGAGTAACATTCCAGTGTTTTATTATCAGCACCTCCCACATGTCTGGCGTTGGTTAACGTTTCTTTCTTTGTTTTGTGATTACTTTTTCAAGTTTGATTTTAATTTGACTGGCCGGTTAGTCAAGTGTTGTCGATAGTATCCATAGTAAATGATCTTATTTCAGATCCTGGAACTTATATAAGCCCGGAACGATGCAGAGTAGACATTTTTTCGCTTTGCGAAGGAAAGCTTTTATTCTGGAATAGAGTAACAAAGTTTGATACTTTGCCCCACTCAAGCCAGGTTTGTGGAAGCTCCTGACAAGATGTCTATCGATTTGGTGAACAGGGATCCGAATAACATTAACGACCACTTGAAGGTGAGAACTTCTGTTGTTTTAATGCTGCTTCTCTCCGGCACAACGAAAACCGTGTCGTCGATATTATTATTGAACATACTGTGTGAGCTTGAACTCACTGGCCACTGTGTCACTGGCCACTGTGTCACTGGCGACTGTGTCACTGGCC